GCTCATTATAGGAGTTTCAGAAAGAACATGAGTTTTAAAGAGACAGAGGCCCAATTTCAAAGTATTAAATTAAATAAGAAGTCTCTAAGTCATTTTTGATGTATAGAGCATTTCTCTGACATCTGAAATTAAAAACATTACTTGATTATGCGATAGAAAAATGCACAATACTGCTCCTTTAAACTTTTTCACATTTTCTCATAGCACAACCACAAACTTTAAAGTGTTTTATTTGGATTTTATATGATAGACCAACAAAAAGTGGTGGAAAAATACAAAGAGGACTAAAACGGAGTCCGGGTTTTCCTTGCTGAAAAGTGTGGCCTGCATTTGTAGGCCACACAAATGCAGACCTACATGGTGGAAGCATCGGGCTGTGAGGACACTTTTCCTTAAGCTTTTCTAAAACCTGTTAGATAGCAACATTTCCCAATTTTAATTTATAAAGAAAAATCGGAATGGTTTGTTACATTTTTATACATTGGTTTATCATATAAAATCCCAATAAAATAGACTGAAATGTATAATGTAGCAAAATGTAGAAAATTCATGTATTTGCTCTCTGCATATTGTTCTTTTTAGGGATGGGCTTAGGGTATACTCCATACTCATAGCCTCACCAGATGTGTGGGTACAATCTGTTCTTTCCCAGTGCTCATTCCCACTCTAGTTTATCATTTTAGCTGCACATAAAGTTTGTTTTGTTGGAATCTTTCCTAACTGAAACAGAATGCCACTTATCAGCAGATCAAGCGTTGTCTGACTAATAAATTGCCATATTCTGCCGCTCAGTCGTCTGAAGACTGGCTCGGAGATGCGAGCGAGCCTCTGACCGGCTTCTCCTGGAGGGGGGGTTCAGAGAGGGAAACCACCGGGATCCAAATCTGGAGCGAGGTCTTCCTGGTGGACAAACCAGACGGAAGGAAGGTCAGAATAAATTCCTCCACAAAACAACAAGGGACAAACAGGGACAGGCAAAGTAATATTTGTCCAAACCTTCAAATAATTTCATTTTTATTGCAGCAGCATAATGGCACACAGGGGAAAAAAGAAAAGGCTTTTTAATGCGAGTGCATGAATTTGGTGGGGAACTGAATCGGACACTGAAGACACCTCTAATTAGTAAATCGTGACTTTCCCTGGGGAATTATTATGACGTGACACATAGGCCTGTTTCTCGGCTGGACAGGGACCCATATTTTTCTCGCTAATGAGTAGGATGATAAGGGAGGTAAAGGAAAAAAAAAAGTGCTGCAGTACAGAATGGTTCACCAAGTCTCCATAACAACCATTGCTGTCGGTTGTTTGGGATTGATGCGTTTCTGTCCTGCCTTCATATGTGGAGTTTACTAAACTCTGCTGGCCGTTTAAGTCAAACTTTGTCAAATGAGACGAAGGTTGAGCAACAACCTTTGAAGGTGGGTCAAGTATGACATGAAGGATGACTGGGGAAAAGCACCATACACCTACGGTTAGGTGCGGTGGGGGATCTGTGATGCTGTGGGCCTGTAATTGTAATTGTAATTCAGTACATTTATATCTCTGATGAAAAAGAAAGAACAATTCTAAGTCAATTCAGGTCTGTTTTTCTGTATCATAGACTAGAAAAGACCAGTAAAATGAAAAAGAGGCATCTTTAGGTCTTATTCTTATGATAAAAAACAAAGTCAGCAGAACATATAGTTGAAAAAGTATTAGATCACCTCTCTAAATGACTGAACTCGAGTGTTTTAACCACTTCGACACCCACAGGTGCAGGAAAGACACCAACAAGACATTCAGACTGCTTCTGCAAATATTTGAGAAAGAATAGGTCGCTCTGAAGAGCATTAGGAACTCAGACATGGAGGAAAGAATAGTGTTGGAAACCGCATGCAGACCAGTGTGTAGAAGTTACCAGCTATGTGCAGAGTGGATAACTATAAGCTTCACGTGGGTTTCAGATTAGTCCAGGAACATTGCTTCATTAACGGGTTGCCATGGCTCTACATCTCCAAGAGCAATTCAAAGATGCAGAGCAATTCAAAGATGCGAAGTGGCGGATGGAGTGCTGTAAAGAACTCCAACACCAGACTCTAGTGTAGTAGGGATTTGTGTTTTGGAGTCATGATTCCTTCTTCCCTGTTGGGCTAGCTAATAGATTAGACAGCGTTTGGTAGTTGCCATGAGACTGCTGGTATTTTTGGATGTTTGGGGAAAAAGTTCCATGTTTTGACGGTACTGACGAGACTCCTTGAATCAGCTGTAGTAGTCATGCCAGGCCTTTAGATGGCGCTGTGATTTTAGCATTTCATCAAACCCGCATGCGATTTTGACCCTTATCTTCCACCGCACTAGATCTCACCTCACTGAAAACAGTAACCAGTCTTCGCCGAATGAAGGGCTCATGTCACACATTCTTATCGGAAACTGTGTTAAACAGAACAGGCTAATTAGCACAGGACAGTACAATACGCACCGTCGTTTTTGTTGTTATCTGCCTGCGCATGCACAGAATGAACTCTTCAGTCGTGCGTTCTGCGTATCTGAGATTCAACACATCCCGGGGAGAGTTTTACAGAAAAGTTTCACTCTGAGACCTCGTTTCAAAACGTGTTGGTGTGAGAGACTCCGGTCACAGGTGTCGTGTAAATGATCGCAACAAAAATATTGCAGTTTAACTGAAGAGCGTCTCCATGTAAGTGTCAAATGAGACGTAATTCCCGTCAAACCTACCATGGGAAGACATTCTGGAGAATTGTATGGTCTTCATGCTGAAGGAACAGTTTGGAGGTGGCCCATTTAGTACCAACATGGCTGCCAAACAAAGCACAAAAACGAATGAGTGAGTTTGCTTTGGACAATCTTTATTGGTATGACCTCAACTTGATACAATCCCTTGAGGATCAGTCAGAACAGAAACTGAGAACCAGGCCGTAGTGTCCAACATCAATGTCTGACCTCACCAATGCTTTCCTAGAAAAATGGTCAGATGTTCCCCTAAGCAGACCTCTAAACCTTCCCAGAAGAGTTTGGATAGGATCGTTTTTTTTTTTTCCTCCCTGTGGAATACATTGGATTTTCTAAAAATTTCCATTGAAATTTTAGAACTGCAAGAATTTATTTGAAGGTTTTGTTTTGTTTTTATTTCCACATCTGTGACCGTAGAAAACATTCAGACACACAAACGGGTCAGTTTCTTTTCGTGCCTGATGACACAGGTCGCCGTGCTGCTGATGGACACGCAGGGCACGTTTGACAGCCAATCCACGCTGAGGGACTCGGCCACTGTGTTCGCCCTGAGCACCATGATCAGCTCCATGCAGGTACCACAGTTTAGTGCCGTCTGAGAGCACCGGGCGGTGAGGTCTGCAGGTCCAAAGGAAGCAGCTGTACCCTGAATTAAAAAAAAAAAAAGAAAAACCTCATCCTGTTTTTCCTCTCTTGCTCTGACACAACAGCATTTTAAATGTTCCCAGCATATCGAAACAGTAAGGAAACTGTCTCTTTTAGGTTTACAATATATCACAGAATGTACAAGAGGATGACCTCCAGCACTTGCAGGTAAAAAAAAAAAAACATTATAAGGCAAGTTTTGGAATACATTATCATTCGAAAATTAGCATTTCTATTGAAATTGAAATTGAATATGAGCATGGTTTATGATCAAGCAAACTCAGACTTTATTGGTAACTTAAAGTGTGGAGCTAAAATTAAATATTTCAAATCATCACTGATGATGTGTTTATTATTTCAGCTTTTCACCGAGTATGGAAGACTAGCGATGGAGGAGACCTTCCTTAAACCTTTCCAGGTATTAAACGTGCTTCCAATTAAGTGATGCTTTAAAACAAATTTACACTAAATTAAACACGGATTATTTTACATGTTAAAATAAAGTTGAAAGAGAAGAATTATTTTAAATTTGACCTTATAGTGCAGAGCTACATACAGGTTTATTTTCTTTTCCAGTCCCTGATTTTCCTGGTTCGGGACTGGAGTTTTCCATACGAGTTTCCTTACGGACAGGAGGGGGGCATGAAGTTCCTGGAGAAGAGACTGAAGGCCAGTTGTTTCTGATTCCACAGTCCTAGTCACAAACTTACATTGGATGTCAATGAGATGAGCTTGTTGCTAATAAGGCTGGGCTAATTAAATCAGACGTAGAACCAGAACCGTGTGCTTCTGCTGCAGATCTCAGAGAACCAGCACGAGGAGCTTCAGAACGTGCGTAAACACATCCACTCCTGCTTCACCAACATCAACTGCTTCCTGATGCCTCACCCCGGCCTCAAGGTGGCCACCAACCCTCACTTTGACGGAAGAATTAAAGGTACATCGTCATATATTTTTTTTTTTTTTAGAGGGACATTGCAACCAGACAAATCAGCTGGTGGATTTCTTTAATTCTTTGGAAATGGCAGATCGGTCGATACTTGCAATCGTCACCTCACTGTTGATGACTCAGCATCTTTGTTGTTGTATTTATCGACATTTCAGACAAAAAAGAAAAAAATATTGGTCTCAGCAGTTCAGGTTTTTTAAAAATCGTGATCGGGCAGGAAATTTCAATTGTTGCATCTCAACTTGGAAGATGTCTGCATGTCACGTTTTGCCACTTGGAGACGAGCTGTAACTACGGAAAAGGATTAGGGTTGCTAACAAAAAAAATGTAGACTTTAATGTCAGGATTTTGCTTTTTTTTTTCTCAAAACTTTGATTTTAATCTCTAACTTTAGGTTATAAAATAGATATAAAAATGGTCTGTAGCACCTTAAATGTCAATAAATTGTTTGCGACTCTTCTTGGAGAAGTCGTCAACGAGCCATTTGAGTGTTTTTGGTGGGAAAGGTTCCCCACTGTTCCTCGTTTTCATTTTTCTTCTGTAATGACGCAGCGACTTGTACTTTAACACAGTTAAAATATTCCTTCCTACACACAGACTCTCGGATAATAAGACTTAAAACAACTTTACCTGTCATGATATTAAATTTTGCTGTATGTCAGAGAAATTATTGCGCTAAACGCCAACACTGTTTTTTCTTTGTGTTTTTAGACCATTTTCAAGTAACGTGTCAATAATGGGATAATTATCGACTCATAAACTTTAATTTTGCACAGAACACTTCGCACTGCAATTGTGCAACCTTTTTAAATACCCAAAATAAAACACTGAGAGCAAAAAATAAATGAATGATCTCTTTCCAGATTATATCACAAACTGTTTGTTCGTCTCTAGAGATTGATGGTGAGTTCATCAACATCCTGAAGGTCCTGGTGCCCTGGATCCTCAGCCCCCGCAACATCGACGTGAAGGAGATCAACGGCAGCAAGATCACCTGCAGAGGCCTGCTGGAGTACTTCAAGGTCAGAACCAGTCAAGTGGATACGAGAGCTTTGTATTTTACGTACGGAAAGTTTCCTCACCTCCTGTCTTTATTCCTCATGCTTCAGGCATACATTAAGATTTACCAGGGTGAAGAGTTGCCTCATCCAAAGTCGATGCTGCAGGTACTTTTCTATATGCTTGTTTTGTCTAACTGTGGGGTCTGCAGCCTGTGTAAGTGAGAGAGCCATTTTGACATCAGTCCAACTAAATAAAACTTTTTTAAAGCCACAAATGTAGCATCATCTTTAGAAAAAAGGCTGGTTGTAATGTTTTGACAAACGTGAGCGAAAGAAAATCTTTAAAGAACCTTTTTTTTTTCTTTTTTTTTTTTTACATTTTAAAATAAAACAACATTTTTGCAGTTGTTTTGCTATGGGGTGTTGATAAACGTTATGAAAACACTGTAAAAAAATTCTTTATTTGATTTTCTCTAAACCACATATTTCAAACTCAAGGCCAGCGGGCCAAATTTGGTCCACCATATCGAGTTTTTGCGGCCCTCTATATGTTGGAGGTCCGTTTAAATAGACCGTCAAGATAACACTTGTGTGCTTGAATATTATTTTAGTGAATCAAATAATTTTTTTATTTGTATAGTGTCAAATTACATCAGTATGAAAAGATTTTTAATGTTGTTGAATTTTAAATCCAAATATAATATTTTAATAGGTAGGATTATCTAAACATTCTGCCACAACCGGCCCTTTAAGGACTTTAATTAACTCGATGTAATAAAAGTCATCTGCTCTAATGTATAATTGTATATACTTAATGTCTGAATGCTATGAACTTTTGAAATCAAAGTCAGAATTTTGAAGTTCTGATTCTGAAATGTACACAATTTTCAGCATAGTTAAAATTTTTCAAAGTAAAGTTAAAACAACATATTACCAGTTGTTTTATAGTCACTATGTTGTGGAAAATTGGGGCAATTATTACAATCGAAAAATGTATTTGTTTTATGTCTATATTTATGTAAAAAAAAATCAGTGTTTTTTTTTTTTTTTTTTTTTTCCAAATTTTCCCGGAAGGGCCAAAAAACCCCCGGGTGGGGACCCCCCGGCTTATTTTA